TTTGTTGCGACTGGGAGACACCGCCCTGTCCACTGGACAGCTGCTGTGAGGGTGGCGAAGTACATGGCGACTACATCAGGCTTGGGGCTTGTGCTTGGAGGGACTTAGCCAGTGGCGTTGACTGGTCACTGCGACTCTTCCTACGCTGACGACGTGGAGACTCAACGTTCGACTCAGGGTTACTGCTTCAGTCTGGCAGCTGGTGCTGTGTCGTGGAGGTCTACACGGTCGTCGTCTGTGGCTACTTCCAGTGCAGAGGCAGAGATCTACGCTGGTGCCATGGCGGCACAAGAGCTTCGCTGGTTGACCTTCTTGCTCGCTGACCTTGGTGAGCGGCCTCGCTCTGCACCGACCTTGTACGCTGACAACAAGGCCATGATCCTCCTGTGTCGAGAGCCTCGACTGGAGAGCAGAGTGAAGCATATTGACGTGAGGTACTTCCTCCTGCGAGAGCTGCAGCGACGCGGTCAGGCACGCCTGGACTTTGTGGCCTCAGAGGCCAACACTGCAGACGTCTTCACCAAGGCCTTGGCGCTTGGTGACCACCACAGGTTCTGTGTGCAGTTGGGGCTTGTTGAGGTAGGCCCTCGGTTGGTGTAGTCCTGTTGCTTGCTCTGCTTGTTGTGCTTTGTATTTATATCCTAGTGAACTCTTGAACTGGCCTTGTGGCCGCTTGCTTGCGCTCGGAATTTGTGTGGTGTCCTTGAGATCCACCCTGAGCTTGCCTTGGTTCTTGCTTTGACTGGTCTTGTGACCGTTTGTTCACCTTGCTTGCTTTGATGCCCCTCACTTAGCCTATGGGGGTGTGTCAAATGTTGAACATTGATATGATAGGCTATAGTGAGTTGCACTCTAGGGGGTACAGCTTCTAGGGTTGCTCATTTGTACCTCATTCGTTTCTATTCCAATCATTCCGTTGTTCGCTAACTTTGAGACCGGTGACCATGTTGCATGTACCACAGCTTAAAAGGTTACTGACATCACGTGCACGACAAATAACTTGGTTGAACATGACATGTTGTACCATGTGGATTTGAAACCACGAACTATTTTGCCTTTCCTGCCAGGCCGCATCAATTCTCTAAGGCACCATACACAGTTACCTTTATGATGAATCTATCTGCAGTCATGCATCTTTTTATGAACATCATGCTTGACGGGCATTCTTTGTAGATTGAACATTCTCCTTATCGATTAGAGAGGATGTTTGTCACAGAGGATACGTTGCAATGTAGAAGTGAGTCAAGATTTCGTGTGCAACCTCGATGCACCGTTTTTTCCGCTGCATATCCGGAAGATTGATTCTTCTTGTCAGAAGTTTGACCTGTCGATTGGTGTAACCTCCATGCATCCAAGGAGGCCCACGTGATGCACATGATGATGTTCAGTGCAATGAACGAATTATCGCGGAGATTACTTATCTAGAATCCCCGTAATTCTTTTGTTGTCAGTCCTCTGATTCTCCGAGAAATATCTTCCGACAATCTCCTGAAAGGCTGGATGGGTGCATATTTCCTTTGGGTGGTAGGCGGCGCCGGTGGATGCGTATCTACCGCGTTTCTCTGTTTGTTTCGGGTAATCCTGTAAAATTATAGTTCCGAACAAGGTTAACCCCGCCGCTGCAGTGTGCCAGCCGTACAGGGCTGTTGTCCCAAGTCGGAACTGGCAGTGTACAAACAAAGGGTCAGTCGTTTACGAGAAAATCCTCCACAGAACAAGGCGGACAGTGGGTTGCAGGAGAAAACAACACCTGAAAGTCCACAAGCTTAGTGAGGAAAATGGCGGGTTCTTTCCTACATTTCATATGCTGGGTAGCTGTATTCAACTTCGGGTGCTCGGCGATAATTTATATGATAATATGCGAATTGATTGTTGTTTCTTCCCTCCCATTGATACTTTGTCCGATTTCGAGTCTTTGGCGACTTTGCGAGTCTTGTTCTTTTCTAAATGGATCTTCAACGTTTTCAGCAGGGTGCTTGTCGAATTTTGCTCCGCCATGGCAGTGCTGGCCAACGCTTAAACTTCAAACTGAAGGTTAATTTTCCATCCACGTCAAGGAAAGGTAGGCGGTGCTTTCAGAAATCGCTGTATTTGGAAGGCGGTCGAAAAACTCTCACTCTGAAATGCGGACTTAACAGGGTAAAACTTCGTATTCCCTGGCGAGTTCTGGAAGCGACTGCAAACTCAGGGCTACTTTCTGGATGATTTCGTAGAACCAGAAAATGTTTACGGAAGTCATTCTTTCCTCATTGTACAGTTGTGTTTGTATCTCATGAGATTCCAGCCATATGTTTGAGTGCTGCCTAGACTACACTTCCACCACCCAGTTCTTAAAGGTCGTGCTGCTCATCCCTACTGATGTGGGATAGTCTAAGATATTTCCAAAATGCCATAGCCCAGTTTGCTTTTGTTTATCCAAACTCCCATGTTCCAAGGTGACTGGATGAGAAAAGCCGTGACGCTGGGAGGAAACCTGGAGCCCCTCGACACCTACCGCAAGATAGTTGGAGGCTTTCCCATTGGGTTAGAACTGTCGCGTCAGATCCATCTCCCCAACCTCCCCTTTCCGCTGGCTCTCCCGCGGAGGATCCCCAAAACCAATGACCTGTCGCTGGACTGCCACAACCATTGGTTATCGGCCGACACATCGCGACTCGCTCGGTGGTGCCTTATTGAATCAGACGTGCCATTTGAATCCATAAGAAGCCCCCTCTGACTCAGGTTTGGCGGGAACATTTTGGTGTTATATTGCAACGCGCCAAGGCGTGGATCCTCTGCCATTTGAATTTAATGCCTGTCCCCCGAACCAACGCCTCTTCAGTCCAACAATCAACCAATCCAATCGCGCCCAACAAGCAGTGCGCAGCTAGAATACAGCGACTCCAGCCGGGGTCTAACAACCATGGTCAGCTAGACCAGTAGGGAGGTCTCCCCGCATGCGCACCACAGGGCCAAAGGGATCCCCCAACAACCTTCCCCGCGGCTTCCCCCGCAATTCGCACAACCCAACGAGCCGTCGCTTCAGGAGACGGGTCAGTGCATGCGTGGGGACGAGCCAATTGGGCTCTGTGTTATCCGGATGTGCGGATTGGTTCGCAACCCCGAATGCCAAAACCCGCGCACCGGGCAACGCCAGCACTGTTCCGCCTGCGCAAGCCAGCTACAATCTCGTTCCCGCCCGCAGCACCTCTGCGGAAGTCTCTGAGCCCTGGCACACTGTTTCTGAAAATTTCCTGAGAAATCTGATTGGAGCTCGGTAAAACCGAAGCGAAACCGCAGGTCATGCGAACTGTAGCTGCAGCCACCACATGAAACCTCGATGCGCCAATATTCTCCCCCCCAGAACCCCTTCTCCCCCCGTCCCCTCTCCCCAGGGCCTGGACAACCCCCACAACCCAGGAATTCCCAAAGCGGTCACCGCCTTTTCGGAAGGATGCTCAGAGCACAGTGGATTTCCCCAGAACCTAGAAATCCTCTTCCGCCCCATATACCTCCAGTTCCCTCTTCCCCAACCCCCTTCACCCCCCAGTTCCCCGCAAACCTTTCTCCCCACATCCCCCAACCTCCCCCCCTACCTGTTCGGCAGACAAACCCAAGAAGGCCATGCCATGGCATGCTATGGCCCATGAGGTGACCGTGGTCCGTGACTCAGTGAAGGCAAGTGAGCGAGTAGTTATTGAGGGTCAGCTGAATCCAGCATAGCAAGTGAAAATGGATATCTGACCAGCCGAGCTTCAGGAAAAACGACATTTGAACAACCGAGCTTTAGAAAGTCAGACTCCTGCGGAGCTGGATGAGCTTATTCTGATTCGATCGTTCTGTTTTCAGTAGTTCACGCGAGTGTGATTTCCATTTCAAATTCCTGCGTTCGTAGTCTGCTGACCAGTTTCCTCCAACCTTTCGCGTTGTTGATTACCTTTCCAGCTTACTTCAGATAACAAAAGAGTACGTTCTGAAAGCACGTCTTTACTTCGTCGCAGATTAGGTTTTAAAACCTCTAGGGAAAAATCTGTTACAAGTTGAGGAGGAACCGCACGATGACGGCAAGAATCGGTTGCGACCAAGCTGAGCGCGACGGACTAGCAGTAACTCGCGAGTGCTTCCAGCCAAGGGGATTCCAATCGCCTCAGTTTCCAGCCGCCGTGGCTCGCGATGATATCTCGGATTTCGTCACCTTCGCTCCCTCCCCTTACTCCACCAACCGACACAAACGAAACGTCTCGGTCCCGGAATTTCCTGAGCTCCGTCTGATGTCCTCCCCGCCTAAACCCGCTTCTTCTCCATTCCTCGCACCAGCACCAGCACCAGCAGCACGGGCAGGATACGGAGCAGCAGCATCGCCAGCGCCAGCTGCACCAGCAGCAGCGGATTCGTCGCTGACGTCAGCCGCGCCGCTTCACGAGCGTTACTCCAAGACTCGAATGATTGGCCAAGGCCATTTCGGACAGGTTTGGGCTGTGGAGGATCGGATAACGCGGAGGACGTTCGCATGCAAGAGCATCCCCAAGAACAGCGCCAAGCTCGGCGAGGCGGAGATGAAACGCGAGATCGCCGCGATGAAACGCGTGTCCGGCCACGAGAGCATCGTACAGTTACAATCCGTGCACGAGGACCCCGAATCCATGCATCTGGTCATGGATTTCTGCGACGGAGGGGAGTTGTACGAGGCGGTAGAGCAGCACGGAAGGTTCCCGGAAAAGGAGGCCGCGAGGGTGTTTAAACAGCTCGTGTCGGCCGTCGCGTATTGCCATTCGCAGGGCGTCATGCATCGCGACGTCAAGCCTGAGAATATCCTCCTCTCCACGTCGGCCTCGTCGTCTTCCGGCGCTCGTTCTGGCGGGGATTCCGGCGCGGTCTCCGGTGCGGATTCCGTCCCAGCGGCTCCCAAAGGCGTTGCGACGCCGCGAGAAGCAATCAGCGTAAAGCTCGCGGATTTCGGGCTCGCGGTTCTTCTCGCCAAGGGCGAAAAAGCCTCCGGAATCGCGGGATCGCCGCTATACATGGCTCCCGAGGTTGTTTCTAGCGAGTACGACTTCGCGGCGGACGTGTGGTCTCTCGGCGTGGTTCTTTACATTCTGCTCTGCGGCGCGCCGCCTTTTGGCGGGAAGGACGACGCGCAGATCATGCGGTCGATCTGCCACGACGAGCCGGATTTCTCCTCGCCCGCGTGGCAGAGCGTGTCGGCGGAAGCGAAGCTATTCGTCCGGTGCCTGTTAGTTAAAGACCCATCGCGCCGCCCTCCGGCGTACAAGCTCCTGGCGCACCCGTGGATCCTCGTGCACACGCGCGGCGGGCGGATCGTACGGCGAAAGGTGTTCGCGATGAACGGACGGCAGGCAAGGGCGGGCGGCATGAGCGCCGCGGTGACCGGCGCCGGGTTTGCGTCGCCGCTGCGGCCGCGAGCTGGGCCTCACGCGGGGTTCGCGGTGGGAACGCCGGTGCGGTCGTGTGGGTCGACGAGCGTCGCCGCTGCGCTGCTGTCTCCCTTAGCGATTGCTGCCCCTGTGACGCCAGCGATGACGCCAGCAATGGCGCCGCTCCTGTCCCCACAGATCGGAGTAACGCCGATTCTGGGGAGAATCGCGGCGATGCGAGTGGCGGGGTCGCCGTCGCCGCTCTCCGCGCCGTCAGTTCCGGCGTCTCCTGCGGGGCACGCGCAATGGGTTGCGCCGTCGCCCGTGTTTGGATCGCCACTGGGAGGAGGGGGCAATGCGGTGGTGGTGGGTTCTCCGTGGTCGGCTGTGGTTGACAGCTCACCGTTCGTCTGCCGTACTGCGCCGCTACAGTGCCAGCAATCGTTCCCGCCACAACAGCCGCCGCAGCCGGTGCAACCGCAGCAACCGTTGCATCTGCAGCAGCAGCAGCAGCAGCAGCCTATGCAGAGTCAGGCAGGTCCTGTGCTCTTCCAACCTTACGCGTTACAACAACACCCACAGCCACAGCAACCGCAGCAGCAGCAGCAGCAGCAACCCCAGCACCAGCAGCAGCAGCACTCACGTCCCACACAACGGTTTCAAACGTTCCAGCTCCGCCCTGTGGAGCAGGACGAGGCGAGCCAACACCAGGAACAGATTCATCAGCATCAGCACCAACATCAGCATCAGCACCAACATCAGCATCAGCATCAACATCATCCTCATCAGCACCAGCAGCAGCCGCAGCAAAAGCGGTTGGCTCCAAAACGCCTGCTCTGGCTTCCCAATCTCTCCACTCCCTCTCGAAACGCCTCCACTCCCTCCCCCGCCCGTTCAGATCTCGCTCCCATATCTCCCTGCCTGGCTCTTGCTCGAAAGCCCCTCGCTCTCTCAGCAGCTCGGAAGCTCCTCACGCCGTCCAGCACCCTCGCACCGCCTACTCTCACCCACCCCTCTCCACCGCTCTCAGCCCCACGAGCCGCACTCCCCACCCCGCCCGCTTCCGGAGAATTCCAGCTTCCGCCAGCCGCGTTTCCTCCTGCTGCTGCTGCTGCTGCTGCTACCTCCGCTCTTCCTGCCGCTTCTCTCTCTGCTCTTTCAGCTGCCTGCGACACTTTAGTTTCCTCCTGTGCATCTGCGTCCGCCTCTCAATCCTCCTCATCCTCTACAGTCCCCTATGCTGCTCCTTCTGCTCCTTCTGCACATCTGCCCAAGGCGACTTTGCCTCCCTCAGTGCCTGCTCTGACGACCATTACACCCGATGCAACCCCCGTGCTCGGTCCTTCTCATCCCAACACAGAGCCAAGCCCGCTGACTGCCCCGCTACCACTCGTAGCACCAACGGCGGCGAAAACACAACTGCAGAACAACAACCTGAAGGGGTGTGGTAACTTAGTTACCGCAGCGTTTGCCAGCACGACGATGACGCTCGGAAATGGACATGCCGATGATAGCTGGGGGTCGGTTGGGTCTGCTGCTGAGATTGCTCCGGCTTCTGCTGCCCTGGCATCCATGGCCTCCGGTTCAGTCACTTCCGCTGACTTGGTTTTGAACGGTGGTGATATCTCTGGCGGACCATTAGGATTGGCAGATATGCCTGGGATGTCGTCACTTCGGCGGTGTCTTTTTGCGTGACTTTAGTTGCTGTAGAGCCATTAGCACGTGTTTTCAGTAGACAACACAATTTTATGAGTTGCTGAGTATTGCTTTGACACTTTTACCCCACTACCTTGTTGAGATAATATCGAGACTTGTGCACTTCAAGGAATTCGTGTAGTGTAGTTAGTACAGTAAAAGTACCGATATGCTGACGTCAGCAAAGCGCTACGCGCCCTAGGATGACGTCAGCAGTAGCTGTAGGTACTGCGAATAGTCACGTACCGTTTCAGGCTAATAGGTACATTAAACGAACAGGTACTTTACTCTAGCTATATATTTTGTATGTCTGTCATTTTATAATATACTTGATTTCAGAGACATTGATCCTGTTACAAGTCACTCATATAAAGACTTCCACTGCTACAGGAAGCTACTATCCTAAGACTACGATCCTATTCAGACAGGTTAAATTCTAACATGGTATGAGAGCCACTTAGGATTATAATAGCTTCCACCTGCCTACTCTACAACTATGTCTGGATCTCCAAGGTCCAACAACGGCTCTTCGGTTACGAGCCCATCACGCCCAACAGCGTCTCCAGCTGCTGATAATTCTAATCTGCAACAACAACAACAACAACAACAACAATATCAGCAACAACCGATGCACGGCATGCCATTGAGCAATCAGCCCGTACACACAACTACAGCAGCGGCATCATCGACAGTAGCCGCAGCAATAGCAGCATCAGCAGCCACAACAGCTGCAGCTGCAGTCACTGGTTCTTCTAGTCAACCGGGACAACAGTCCAACTTCGTACCGACTGGACCTTACCAATATCAAAGTGCTTACCAGCCAGCAAATCTTCAACAACGTGTTAATGCTGCCGTCTTGTCGCTTAACCAGATGTTTCCAACTCCTATGAGCATTGATGGCTCCAGTTATCAGCGTGGTCAGATGCCACAAGGAAGTGACGGGTCGAACAACTCCTTCTCTTTTGTTCCTGCTGGACAAGGACAACAAACACAACAAGGGTCACAAGTACCATCACTTTATCAGCTACAATCAGCTGACGGGACCGGAAATTATATTCCTGCTTCTACAAATCCAACGAAAATCAAAACGACAATGCCTTTTAACGGTCAAGACTTTTATACCTGGAGCTTTGAGTTTGAGCTTCTTGTTCAGACCGCGGGGTTCTGGCAGCTGTATGACGGCACAGCACCCTTTCCATCTCACGGATCACCACTTCAACAAGCCACTTTTCGATCGGCGTCGCTGACTGCATACACAGTTCTCGTTCGTAATCTGACGCCGACTGAACAGTTCGGAATTCGTTCTTTTCGTACCAGTGCCGCTCCTGCTGAAGCAGCTTGGTTGTATCTGCAAGGGGTTCACATGGCAAAGGACACTGTCAACCAGAGTAAAATTTTGACGCAGCTGTCAAATATACAGATGATAAACGGCGAGAAGGTGACATAGTATATCAACCGCGCTCGAAATTTGCGTGATCAACTTCAGAAGTGTGGAGGGTACTTCCCCGACGCTATGTTTCACACGGTGCTACTCGCGGGTCTTGGACCAGAATGGCGACAGTGTCGCTCTATACTTCGGATGCAAGCACAGTTGTCCGAGGGGGCACTCTGTGCCGCTCTCATCGCCGAGCAGCAGGATATGGACGTGCACAACGCTCGAGGAGGAAAAAAGGTGGTAAACAATACAGTCAGCTTTTATTCTAATCCACGTCACAAGCCCGTTTGTTCTTTTTGTCGAAAACCAGGACATACTATTGATACTTGCTGGTCGAAAGATAAACCATCTTGGAAGCGGACTACATCGAAACATACCAAAGATTCTTCAAGTGAAGCTGAGAAGCCGGAAGCTGAGAAGTCGGACGCTGCGAAGCTGAGTTCTGCGAAGTCGGACGCTGCGAAGCTGAGTTCTGCGAAGCCGGACCCTGCGAAGACACAGTCAAAGCAAGTTATTACCTGCATGACATCAGTTTCAACGGTTTATGATCCTGATGCTGAAGAGCGGATTCACAACCGGTTCAACAACGAACTCAACACACCGATTCCACCTGAGGTCTATGCAAATCTTGCACATACTATTGCAGGTCCCAATACTTGGTACCTCGACAGTTGCTGCGGTCAGCACATGTGTTCGTCAGAGACTCGTTTCATTGTGAATCAACGCCGTCTGGAGAATCCCGTTGTCGTCACGGTCGCCAATAACCAACGGCTTACAGCTCACTGGATGGGAAGTATCGTTCTGGACTCAGTTGAAGAAGACTTCAGTCTTCACCTGAACGAAGTTCTTCTGGTCCCTCGGCTTGGCTTCAACCTCATGTCATCTGCACAGCTCATGAAGAACGGGATTACAATTCTCGGTGAACCTGGGAAGTTCACTCTGAAGTACGGCGACAAGAAACTCGGCACGGCAGTTGAGCAAAACGGTGTTTTCGTTTTGAACTTCATACCTGAGCGCACTACTGCCGACTCTGATAACATTCTCTCGCTTGGTCCTTGGGAGCATCGCGACGACATTGATTACACCGACGATACAGTTCCACGTGAGGGAGTTGTCCCGACGTCTTCAACCACGGCTGCCGCCGTCATGTTGACCTTCGACGATCAAGGCTTAAACGATGTTAAGAACTCCCGAGATTATCTTGCTCACGTTGCTGGTCGGGGAGACACGACGAATATGCCCACGGGTGAAGGTACTTGGGGGGCACAGGAACCTGACGATGAAACAACTTGGGGCGAGACGCCTGCTGAACGCGATGATCGTCTTCGCGTTGAAGCTGAGCAACGCGTCGCTGATATGGAGATTCTTGACTCGGGTCGTCTCGTTGGAGTTGAACCTGTACCTGCAGCATCCGATCAAGAAAGCGGCGAGTTAGTACTTACTCGTTACGTCGCACCTGCTTTCGATCAGATTCGCTCCGATGGTCATCAGCTTCTGTTGTCGTTCTTCGCTAACGCCGAGTATTACCTGCGCGCACAAGGTCACAAAGCCACGGGAGAAACATGGCATAAGCGACTTGGTCATCCGTCGCAGCTTACGCTGAACAACACGATCAAGGCTGCAGTGCTTGACAAGAATTCGTTACTCTTACCGAGCGGTCTCGAACTGAAGCCGGTGAATCGCCCGGCACCCTGCACCATCTGCCCTGCGGCGAACCTACCGCACGAGCCGTTCCCGACTCATTTCCCTGGAGCTGCAGATTATCACCTGATGGATAAGGTTTACAGCGATATACTCAACTTACCTGCGGATGGTTTCAACGGCGAGCGCTACGTTATCACATTTACAGAAGCTTCTACTCGTTACGTTTGGACTGGAAACATGACTAACCGTTTTCTTGCATTTACAGCTTTCCGCACCTGGCTTCCTCTCGCCGAACGAGAGTCTGATACTAAACTAAAGGCGTTTCAGTGTGACGGCGCCGGCGAGTATCGTTGTACCGAGTTCACGACCTACCTGCAAGAACGCGTGATAAGACGACTTTTTTCGTTGCCTCACGCTCATCAGCAGAGTGGCGTAGCTGAGCGGCTCAACAGGACTCTGCAAGAGAAGATGCGAGCCCTTCTTGCCCAGGCTCAACTCGGCCCACTCTACTGGCCTTTCGCCATGGACCATGCAACGGTGTTGCACAATCTTCTTTCGTCCTCGGCTCTGCCCAACAACGCCTCACCCTACTTGCTGTGGACGGGCAAGTTGGGTACCACTAAATTACTTCGTGTTTTCGGGTGTGTTGTTCAGTACCGTCCTCCTACCGCTCCGCTCGGGAAGTTCGATCAGCGTGCTAAGTGGGGGCTGCATCTCGGCATTGAAAAACAATATCTTGCCTGGCGTATCATGGATTACCGCAGTCGTCTCCTTGTTCCTGCTCGCGACTGTACTTTTTACGAGAATCTGACGCTGCCCGTCTTCGAACAGCATCTTGCCATGCAGCAAAACCCTGCCACGCTTTTCCACGGTGTTCGTTCGTTCGCCAGCGCCGACGCCGAACTTGCTGCCAGCGAAGAACCTGACCCCGACGGTGCACGTGAAGCTGTTCCTGACCCACTTGTCCCTGTCACGTCCTCTGGAATTCCGGATTTTATTCCTCTTGCTGACGCGGCACCTGAGGATGTTCGCGATGTTCATCATACTTACCTCGTGGATGAACAGCGCCAACCAATACCGGTGGTTTCCGATAGCAGCATCCGTGTCAACCCTGACGAAATTGGGGGGGCAAGTGGATACCAGAATGATTCTGTCAATTTCGCAGGTCGCACCGACGATAATCCGCATTATCAGACCGGACTGCAAATTCTGGGACTCGCAGCAGCGGTACAGCACAGTTCTACAGTGAATTTGGAGCCGAAAACTGCCCAACAAGCTCTCTCAGGGCCTCATCGCGAAAAATGGCGTGAAGCGATGGATCGCGAACTGGCTGCCCTGGAGAAAAGGGAAACTTGGGATCTTATACCTATTGAAAAAACGGTAAAAAAAAATGTTCTTACCGGTAAGTGGGTCTTCAGGGTGAAGACGAAAGCGGATGGTACTTATGAGAAACACAAGGCACGGTGGGTGGTTCGCGGTTTTGATCAGACTCATGGGATCGACTACACGCTTACCTTCGCCCCGGTCAGTCGACATACGAGTGTTCGACTCGTTCTCTGCGAAGCAGCCGCGAAGAATTTTCCACTTCGACAAATCGATGTTTCCAACGCTTTTCTGTACGCTGACGTCGATGCCGAAATCTACGTCGAATATCCACATACCTATCCGACAAATCCGCCAAGTGTCTGCAAGCTCAAGAAATCACTGTACGGCATCAAACAAGCACCGCGACTGTGGCAGCAGCATTTGAACAGGAAGCTGACGGAGGTTGGATTTCGACAACTGCCGCACGATCCCGGGATGTATCGGCTAGACGACAAGGGGAGCTATGCGTTGTTGGTGGCTTACGTGGACGACATCCTCTACGTCAGTTCATCGACTTCGCTGGGTGATCGTATCGAAGCCGATCTGAAGAAATCGC